GTAGTACTTGAGAACCCTGCACTTTCGATTCCACTCAGTGCATTATGACCTGTCTCTTATACATAGCAGACTGTTACGTATTTTTAACTCGTACGTGGAGTGGATCGTTGATTTTACTTTATGAATTATCGTGAAATGTTGGGGCTTTCCCATAAATATAGGCTCTATTGTAATTTTCCGTAGTTTATATGCATTTCCGTAGTATTTATCTATATTTCCGTACGTCCGTAATTTGGGCCGAATTTCTGTATTTAAACTACGGACGTTCCGTAGTACTTGAGAACCCTGCACTTTCGATTCCACTCAGTGCATTATGACTTTGCGGTGAATTTCAATGACGTCATCTTTGTCTCAGCGTATCAACGTCCCAGTGTATCAGCGTCTCAGTGTATCAGCGTTTATAAGACAACGGTTTAATACCAACTTGTCTTACCTGTGTAGGCATAGCCTAGCATTTAGTGCAGTACTGTATGTATGTAGAGAATACGGAATACTAACTGCCTGGCGCGACCTAGGCCTAGGCCCCTAGTTTAGGCCTAGGCATATACAAACTATAATAATAATATTTCAAACATTAGACAAACAATGAACACTATTTAAAATAAAGTGCATTAATTTACATGTTAATTATTAGATCCATGGAACTATCTAGGACCTACTACTACTACAGGCATTACTAAAATGCCAGTTTTATTCGTCGTGGAATGTGGATGCTGCCTTGAAAGCTAGCTCAAATTTGCGCGGAAAATGGCTTGGAAAAATGTGCACAGAACTTAACTTCTGCATAATACATTGGCAATGGTTATGTATTCAGATTAGTTCAAAGACTAATTTTCGGCATTCTTCTCGGAAATATAACCACCCGCCTTAGGCGTGGCCCTGCTTATTCCATGCTGGATCAAAAACTAGTAGAGGGTCAAATGTCCAGCCATTTTGATGGTCAAAATACAGGGGAATTATTATTACTGTACATTAGAAAAGATTGAGAAACAAGATAGTCTATTATACATATATTGTTTTAATTTTTAAACTAATTTTTATTTTTATATTACAAAAAAGTATTATATTAATGAAATAATAAATTCTATTCAAAATAATTGTTTATTAATATTAATAAAATAATTGCTATGTTACACCACTTTGCAATGTATTTGAATATGGGCTTTTCACAGTGATGGTTAATTAGAATATATATATTTTCAACAAAAATTATCATTGATGATTAGTGCCAGAATGATTAATTCCTTATAAAGACATTGTAATATAAATACTAATTATTTTTGAATGGTGTAAGAATAGTCACTCTGATTTTTTTTAACTAGTCTGTTCAAACTTTTTATTGTACTTCTCTTCTTACAGGAAATGCTGACATGTTGTGGGTATCAATGGCTTTCATTTGGTAGGTGTTTAACAGGCTAAAGAAATCTGACAGAAGGGTCATCCCATTTTGCACTGTGTGGGCGATTAAGGACAAGTTCCCAGAAGCTGTGAAGACTGCCCTGGGTTTTTTTATGCTATAGATGATGAAATAAACTTTGTGTTGGAAGAATTATTTATAAATTGTTATGGAAGATATCTGATAAGTCCATCCTCATTAATGCAACAGATCTTATGTAAATAGATTCATTCTTGACAATTCATGTGACAACTGTGCTCTGTTTTTTTGAAATCTCATCACTCATGAAAGGAAATTTTGTCAGCACAGGCCTAGAGCTTTTGTATATCTGGACCTGTCAATTGTGTGTAACCTTCCAGACCTAGTCTGTAATTGAAATTGTTGCTATTGATGCGGATAGGCCAGCAAAGTTGATTTCAAGAACATTTTGTCGTTAAGTACAGTACATTGTTTTTTGTATCTTCCCCACTCTCGTCTCATATTTTAAAATTTTAAGCTAATACAGTATGAATACACTGTTGCTTTAATCTGTGTACAGTAAAACAATTTTATATTAACTGTGAGAAAATACACTTGTAATAAATTATTTGCAAGGTACAAAGAGGATAAATTGTTTCAAAATATTTATTTAATAACACCAGTAGTCTTGAATTTACTGTATGTTCAACAATAACTAAGTGAAGCACCAAAAATATGGATGTTGAATATCATCATGAAAGAAGAAATCTTGGCTATGGTAAATAATACAAGACAATCAGACATGATAAATAGAGCAGTGCAGTTAAACTTGCCTAAGACGAAAAATAATATACTCTAATAATTTCTAAGTCGATCTAATTTTACATGCCGAATTGTTGTGTTTTCCATTACCGTAAGTGCAAGTCAAATTTTGTTAGGGTCAAACAATTTCTCAATGGAATTTTGGATATGACATAGGCAAGTTCAACTACTGTATTTTAAAATACTAAACAAAAAATGGTGTACAGCAAAAAATTGAAGCTTTTTCTTAAATTCCAATACCAAATCGATCAGCATGCAGACATAGGCATAATCCAGACATTTAAAAAAATAAGCAGTTTCATAGAATAACTTTACACAAGACTGTACAAAGCCATATATTAAAATAGTTGTTCCTGTATATATTGAGCCACATTTTCATACTGTACTATCAACTTCGCACATTACATATTTCAAAATTAATCCTCACAATTTGTTCTCTAAATCTGGATCACATATTTGCTTCAAAAGGATTACTATTTAATGGGATTATAATACCATTTAATAATATTAAATTTATTTTGCAAGTGAAACAGGTACAGTAATACTGGTACAGTATTTATTTATTTATTATAAATTTGGCATGCAATATAAACCAGATGCTGCAATATAAACCAGATGCGTAAAAAACAAAAACTTAGGTGTGTGGCATTTCAGTATATCTTCAGAAAAAAAAAATCACTAGACAAATCATTTTAATTTAATTCTTTGGAAATATTTTGGATTCAATCACTTGCTGCAGAGCTCTGAGCGTCGCCACCTTCTGCTAACCATGGATTGGGCATGTCCATTTCATCATGTCCACACAGATGGAATTGTTTGCATCACATCCATCTGAGCCAGTCATTTGCTCCTATTGAGGAATAAGTACAGTAGTTACAATAATGCAAAACCAGGTTTGTTAAAAATCAAAAATGTTATCAAACATTGGCATTTGCTGCTTTATCAATAACATACCATACTGAGATACTGTATGTACTAATCTAAAAAGACATTCATCAATTGACAGTATTTTCAGATTTTTTAATTACTTGATTGAAGCCTTCCTGTCGGCTAGTGTGTAATGTATTATTGTTGTTTCTTAATAAAACTGACACACCATGCTGATATTTTTTACCATTCCAATATATTTGTTTCATTTACTCTGACTGAACAGTGATGAGACATTCACTTAATTTTCTTTTGCTCACCTTAAATCAAGGAGGTATAAAATTTATACCTCCTTGGTTGTACTCATGGCAAATGTTGTGGTATGTTTGTCTCATCATGGCGACTGGCAAATACCTATGTGAGGAGAGTGTCATGTTTCGGCCTATCACATATCTAGGCTGGGCTAGTAGTAGAAACCTACTATCTTTACCGTCAGCTGGATAAGTCTGCGTCACCTGCTGCGGGACTGGAGCAGTGTCCCAGACAGGAGTGCGCTACTGCTGCTGGGTAGACACTGACTGTGCTAATCCTAGGCATAGGTGTAGGCACTAATTATAAACAAACGAGTCAAGTCATCGGACTGATATACGTTTATTAATTCAATTGAATTATTCCTCCATGATTGAATTGACGTTGACTAAACCGTCTCTCTGTAACTGCGTACGTAAACGATCACAAAAACTCACGACTTCACACTGTACCTAAGCTAGTCGCTCGATCGTCGGGACGATTTTTCGATCAGCTGCTCGCCAAAAATTAATTGACAGACTTGTCTTGAATATTAATGAGTTGGTTAGAAAATGCTACCAAGCTACTGAAAAAAGTTATCAGCCTCGTTTCCACCTGATTTTCCTGTCTCACCATATCATGTTTTGTTTCTGTAATTATCCTTACATCTCAACATTTTGAATTTTTTGAAGTATTTTTCCCGAACTCAGGAAAGGTTAAATAAGCAATACATGGCCACTTGTCTCATCCCCGTACCCCCCCCCCCTTTAACCAATTACAAAGTACCGTATCTAAATACAAACCTATCCCTAAACTTAAATCTAGTACCGTAAGTCTTATTAGGAAACCAGAGGGTTTATTTAAAATATAACGTACGATCCTGGTACTCCCCTCATCATGTATAAACATAAGTCTAGTATTTTTACTTTTAGTTAAGGAATATTTACCAAGGCGTTTCGTAAAGTTATTTTACAATAAAATGACAAATAAATACCGTAAGTTAAGTTTTAAAACTGTCGAAATTTATTCGAGAGGATGCTGATTATTATGTGAAACCTAGCCGTTTGTTTTCATGCTTTACTCACTACTCAGTAGCTTTGTTTTAGTGACTAATTCAGTCTATAGTGCAGCGTAGAAACGTAACAACGCAGAATACCGAAGTGTGCGGCACTAAAGCCAACATGCACACTGAACCATATTTATGACCTAATGTCTGATTTATTCTATCAACCAACATTTCCAGTGAAAATAATGTTATAGCCACCATCTTACTCTGTTTTGAATTGTCTCTAGGTTTAAGCAGCGTATAAAAATCACAAGGGATTGTTCTGCTTTGCGTCGGCCACTGGTGCTTTAGAATGATCCTGCTCCCAATTCCTAAGTTACAAAAATAGCACCTATGAGATACTTTACAAAAATGCACAATTACGTCTTATACTGACAAAGGGCCCTGCATTAGAAAAATATCTGTGTGTATTTTAAGAAAGTAAATATAGATTGATTCAATATTTTGGTTAGTAGTATATAGAATAGAAATGTATTAATTAACAACAACAACAGCAACAGCAACAACAATAACAACAACAACAACAATAATACTGTAATAATAATAATGTATAGGTGTAATTTTTGCCCTACCTGACGTGGAAATGTACTGAATACTCAGCACATTTAAAAACAATTGCGAAAAATGTTTTTTCGATCGGGTGAGACTCGAACCCAAGCCCATCAGTCGGGCTACATGCCTTCCGGATAGAATTTGACACGTGGTCGGTACGCTCGAGTCGGTCCGTGGTCAATCCGCTCGAGTCAGCCTGACCTAGCCAAATGACTCTGTCGAACTATTCGCTCGAGTTGGCTCTGCCACGTAAAACGCAGAATACCGAAGCGGCGGTACTAACTCTAGAGCTGAGTTAAGTCTCGTGTGCACTTTCGCGTGTACTCAATTTCTTTTCAAAGACAAGTGTATATGGGCGCATAATTGAAAAAAAGGTTTGGTCACGCGATCTGATTCAAGCGCGAAAGGTTTGCCATTTTGAATTTCAAGATGGCCGACGTACCGTTTAAAATATGGTTATGTCATGTAACATTAGAAAGTTACTTAACACTGATCACTTTTCTCCATTACACCTATACCTAAAAAATCAGTATCTGACTTATCTGCCGTTAAAATAATGTCACGTTACCAAATGAGGTCAAAGGTCAAAATTACACAATCTTTAAATACTGTCGTGTTAGGTATCGTTTGAAAGCTCTTCTAAAGTCAGGGATACACTTATTACTGAAATAAGTTCAAAAATATTATAAAGGAAATATCTAATATATAAAACAGTACTATTCTAATGCGGATTATACAAAAATCTTACATGATTTATACTGTTTGTTAAGTGTGACTATAGATAGATACTTGATAGTGTTTGCTCAGCGTAAATCTACAATCAGTATACCCACAAACGAAGCATCTTTTATTTATCGTGCTAGCCATATACATTTTATGAAAGAAATATATAGTATAAAGCAGTATTACTCTAAAGTGGATTATACAGAATACAATATGATTTAATACTGTTTGTTAAGTGTGACTAAAAATAATGTATAGTGTTTGCTCAGCATACACACAAATAAAGCATCTTATATTTACCGTGCAAGCAATATACATTTTATATACCGGTATTAATTTAGTAAAATTCAAACTGAACATCCATTATATATAAGTAATAAATAAATAAACACTGGTACATTAAACTAAAACGTGCTGAAACCTTAAAATTAAGTTATTCATTTCCGATTCATTTTTTATCTTTTCGAGTATTGTTGATATTTACAAATCAATAAATAATATTATCTAACAATATATTACTACACTGTTATTTGTGTTACTTATGCTTCTTCGAAATATAGTGTTTATAATAAACCTCGATTGCACTACATCAGTGACATAAAGTTGTAATGACCTAATTTGATCTGCTCACGTGAGAGTTGAGTTCTTGTTTTCGTCCAAATTCTAGACTCGGTTGACAAAAAAAAAAAAAAAAAACATGAATTAAAATCGGATTTAATAATGAACTGTGACCGTATTATAAAAAAAAATGTACTGTAACGAAACACAAACCTCCTTAAACTTAAACCTTGTAAGTTTAAGTATAGGTTACTAGGATAGGAGACATTTCCAATGAGATTAAAGATTCTTTTATTATTGATTCCTTCCCTGCATTCTAGCTAAACTGAAAACAAGTTTGACGGTTCTCAGAGTTAATTGCAATTTTTTCCAAGGGAATCCGATACGGTTTCATGTATTTATATTTTTTTTATTTTTAATGTGGATTTTGATGTATATTTTAATATATTTCTATATAGCCTATTTTATCAATGTTTTAAAATTTCAATGTGAAACTGGGTAAGTGGGAAACACTGACTTTTAGTTACAACGATTAGGTTCGATTTAATATTTTCTTCCATCTCACCAAGTTCGATGGTTTTTTTGTGTACGGTCGTTGTTTAGAAAATACAAAGAATAAGTATAAAGATAAGAAGTAGTAATAATAAGTAAGTCTTATTAGGAAAAACACAGGGACTATACAAAAACGTACCATCGTAGTACTGTTTTAAGCTTATCAAGTCACAAAAGCAACTTTTGCTCAGATGTTTTTTTTTTAGTTTGTATCTAGTTGATTCTTGTTAAAATTTAGTTAAAAGGGTTGTTGATAAATCAGTGAAGAGAATTAAAGTGTATTAAAACAAACTGTTCTGGAAATCTCTCATGTTTTGGCTCCAGGAACCACACCCTGGTAAACCGCTTCAGCAGGCGAACTAAACTACGTGAGGGGGTGATGTGTACACTACATCTCTGCTCTGAGGTAGTCAGGTATAAACCTAATGACGTGTATTGATCTTCCATTGAAGGATCCTCATCCAGTAGAGGCTCATGAGTAACAGGTGAACCTCGACCGTCATCAAGTGACTGTTGGCAAGATAAAACAGAAAAAGATCAGGATAGCAACATGGAATGTCAGAACCCAAAACCAAGCAGGAAAACTAGATTCAGCAAAAAATGAAAAAGTTGAAAATAAACATCCTAGGAATGTGCGAAATGAGATAGAAAGGTGCTGGAAATTCTTTCTCAGACAGTTACCACTATTTACTCTGGAGTTGAAAACATGAAAAAGGAGTGGGTATCATGATGGAAAAAGAACACGCAAAAGCACTAAATTGGGCGGTTTCAGATAGAACGCTGTTAATAAGGCACCACGCTAGTCCACTAAACTATTATTCTAGTATTGCCCAAAAAATGTCATTTTGACTTTAACAACAATAAATGTACGTATGTGTGTGTTGGTGTATGTATGTGTGTACGTATGTGAATATGGGTGTACGCGTGTATGTATGTGTGTTATGTATGTATATGTGTGTATGGGTATGTAAATGTTTATATATATGTATGAGTATATAGGTATATCTATATATATGTGTATATATATATATATATATATATATATATATATATATAATAAGAAGTCAAACAAAGTTCAGTATCTGTCTCAAAATAAAATATTTATTGTACTAGTATAACTCTATATTTATTTGGATATATATATATATATATGTATAACGATTTAACAGTTTATTTTATTATTAAAACTTAGCTGTTATTAGTAAGAAGACATTAGAATATAGTTATAGGAAGTCAGATTAACTTATTATTTACAAATTTTCTCTTATATTATTTTAGATTGTAAACACTGTACTTACTTTATTGCTTAATCGTCTATAAATATAAATAAACTAAAAGTAATTAAGTTGTTGTTAATAATGAATACAAAATATAATTTACAGAAAAGAAATAGAAGTTCTCCATTTTATTTTAAACTTCTTTAATTTAAGTGAAAGAGGCCTTTGAATTATTTTTGAACCTTATATGTAAAAGAAATATTTAATTATGTAATTTGGGATTTCCATTTACAAGCTATGCTTCAGGAATTTCCCATTTTCTTCTATCTTTAAAAATGTTGTGCATTTATCGTAAATTTTCATTGTCATTGTCATTGTCAATAGACCTTAAAATAATACAGGCATATGCCCAGCATCGAGTAGCAGCGGGGAAGACATCGATCAATTATACAATGAATTAGAAGCCTTAAAGCAGTGTAAAAGCATGAAAAACACTATCATCCAAAGCGACTTCAATGCAAAAGTGGGCAATACAATGGCTATAACAATATCATGGGTTAGGCATAAGAAATAAACACCAACCTCAAACAACATCTAAGAAGACTGTGGACATGGAAGAGACCAGTCGACTATGTTCTTTTCAGAAGAAGAGTCAGAAATGCCTTGAAATCATGCAAAAAATACCCTGGTGCAGAGTGGCCACCTAACAATTATAAGCGTTCTACATCTCAAACTTCAAAACTAAGAAAACCAAAAACAATGACAAAAGCTGAATCTAGGAATCCTAAGCACTGACAATAAAATTAGAGAGAAATTCAGAATTGCAGTCAAGAATCGTTTTGAGGTCCTAAAATTATCACAGACGAAGTACAACAATGGAAAAATTTTAAATACAGCATATTACAGGCAGCGAAAGTAGAAAACCCTAAGAAAAAGAGCAGATAAAGGTGAAATAGATGACAGGTAAAATTATGTATATGATGAAGAGCTAAGAAAGCATAAATCATATAGTGATATTATTTTTGGAGTAACATGCACAAATAAAATTCAAATGTAACAGCAGCGGCTAAACACAAATTTGTGAAGAGGTTGAGTATCTGTTTGAGGAAAACAACAGAAGAATTTTGCATGAAAAGATAAAAGAAATAACAAGGGGTAGATAAAGAGGATCAGCAACTGGACCCATCAAAGTTAATGACGACCATCATGGAAACATCTTGAATATTGAAACAATTGTTGGAGTATATAAATGAACTATATAATGATAATGAACGATGGGATGACTTACAAACTACAATGAAGAGGTCCCATTAATTCTAAATGTAGAAGTAGAGAATGCCTTGAAGAAAATGAAAGGAAGAAAAGCAGCAGGACCGTACAGTATTCCAACAGAAATGTATGAAGCATTGGATGAGTTTGGCATAGAAGAAATTACAAAAATAGTGAATAGTATGTAGGCCTATAACAGTGTTAGACTGAAGAAGGATTTCTTAAAATATATAGTTAGTGCATTACCAAAGAAATCAGGTGAAAACCGAATGTGGGCAACATAGAACTATCAGTTTAATGTATCACATTACCAAAATGCTACTATGAACCATCATGTGCAGGATAAGGAATAAAATAAGACCTGAGATCGGAATAGAACAATGTGGTTTTTAAGGAAAGAACGGGTACAGCATATGCTATCTACACTCTTTCAAATATAACTGAAATAGCAATGGAAGTTAAACAAGATCTGTACCTATTCTTTATTGACTTCACGAAAGTCTTCGATACAGGAAAACTCAAGGTGAAACTGAAACGCTAAAAAACAACCTCAACATGTAAAGATTAATAAAGAATATAAAATACCTATATTGTCAGCAAAGAGCAACCATATGAATTAACAATGAAATTTGAAGGTACGACCAATAAAGAGAGTCATAAGACAAGGTTGTAAACTGTCTCAAGACCTGTTCCCTCTATACAGTGAAGTCATCATGAGTAATATCCAAGATACACCAGGAATTGTACTTGGCGGACACATCTTAAAAATCATCCGCTATGCTGATAACACTGTACTGATGGCAAGCAGTGTGGATGATTTACAGAAACTAGTATCATGAATAAAGTGAAAAAACTGTTCTATCATTGAACAAAAAGAAATTAGTAATGCCACGGTGTAAGATTATGCTTGGAAATTAATTTTTTAATCAAGGTGATAGTTCAAAGTATCTAGAGACCGTGGATAACATCTAATGGTAAAAATGAAACGGATACAAAGGCAGGAAAAGCAGTAGCAAGAAAAGGTTAAAATGAAAAACATACTAACGAATATGAAACTGTCAGTAAGCACTGGATTAAGAACTCTCCAGTGTTACATATTACCGATATTCACGTATCATTACGAATCATGGACGATCATAAAAAAAAAAACATGTAAAACCGAATCAACGCTGCAGAGATGTGATTCCTACGCAGAATGTTACAAATATCTTACTTGGATAAAAGAAGTAAACAATAAAGTTTTAAAAAATAACAAACAAACTATAAAAAACAGATATTACAAAAAGACTTAAAAAGATTAAACGAAATTAGTATGAAAAACGATGGTAGAGATGAAAACATTGAAAAGTGCATTGAAAAAAAAAAAACAAGAACTTGAAACCCTATATGATATAGAGGCAAAAGATGCACATATTAGATCCCGGGCAAAATGGATCGAAGAAGGTGAACGTAATACAAAATTCTTTCTCGGATTAGAAAAAAAAAACAAATAGTAAGAGAAAACAAATAAAAAGTTGGTTAACAAACCCAGCGGATATCATTTGCGAACAAGTTACACACTTTAAAAACCTATATACAAATAAAGCAATAAGTTTTGAACAAATCGATGCTTATCTTGTTGAAACAAAGATGAACGGAAATGAAAAATAATAAGTCCCCTGGTCCAGACGGATTGAGTGTAGAATTTTATACATTCTTCTGGAATCAAATTGGTCCTTTGATTTGTAATGCAATAAACAAAAGTTTTTAATTGCAAGAACTATCATGTTCACAGTGACGTGGGATTATCACCCTGTTATTTAAAAATGGGGAAAGGCAAAATTTGAACAATTGGCGCCCCATAACATTGTTAAATACAGACTACAAAATTCTTGCACATGCTTTAAGCTGTAGATTACGTGGCGTTATTAAATCTATAATTAAGTCAGACCAAAAGGGTTACATAAAAGACCGTTTCGCGGGAGAAAATATCCGTCTAATAGACGATTTACTTTATTATACAGACCGATATGATATTGAGGGAGCAATGATAATGCTAGATTTTAAAAAGGCTTTCGATTCAGTTAATAGAGATTTTATGTTCGAAGTTTTGAAAAAATTAAATTTAATAACACCTTTTGCAAATGGGTTAAAATGTTATACACTAAAGTTGAATGTGTAACAACGAATAATGGGTGGATTTCTGAAAATTTCAGCATGGATAAAGGTATAAGGCAAGGTTGCCCGTTATCAGCATTGCTTTTTATTATTGTTGTTGAGGTTATGGCATGTAATGTAAGAAATAATAGTTCTTACAAGGGAATTAAATTACCAAATATAAGTGAACAGCACAGACATATACAAGCTAGAATTAGCCAGTTGGCAGACGATACCGTACTGTATGTTGGAGATGAAAAAACTCTACACACAGTGGTGAATGTTATTGTATCGTTATGTAAAGTATCTAGTATGGCATTAAACAAACAAAAAACAAAGGCACTGTGGATAGGAAAATGGAAGGATAGGGTAGACGAACCTTTTGAAATATGTTGGATAAAACAACCAATAAAAGTGTTAGGAATTTACGTAGGTTATGACAAAGAATCTTGTACAATGAAGAATTGGGACGGAAAATTGAATGAGCTTCAACGTACTTTAAAATTGTGGAGTATAACAATACAAATACAGTCGGAATAATAAGCGAGAATAATAATATTTGGAATAATAAGCGAGAAAAAATAAAAAGAAAAACATTAATCGGTGATTCAAATGAAAGTGGTATTAAAATGCCAGACTTTACATTACAAATAAATTCTTCAAGTTTTATGGGCAAAACGACTGCTTAATGATGACGACGTAAAATGGGAATTTGTACCAATATTTTTTATTCGAAAAATTTGCACAGAAGGAATTTTATTTCACATGACATGCGTAAGACACATAAATATTTATAATACATATGATATTCCTATTTTTTACAATCATATCATACAGGAATGTATAAAATATAATAGGATCAATAAAAAAGAAATTAATACGTTTGAGGAAATTATCAACGAACAACTGTTTGGTAATTACTTAATTAAGCTGAGAAATAAATCGTTGTTCTACAAACACTGGATTAATAACGGTATAATTTTCATTAAAGACATTGTATGTGATCAGAAGTTTATATCTTCAGAGGAATTGTTGGTGAAATTACGGTGTAAATCAAATTGGCTAAGTGAATATTTATGTACCGGAATATTAAAAGCTATACCAGATCAATGGAAACATATCATAAAAGTCACAAAAATTGCAATTATGATATTGTCAACATTAACCGAAAATATGACGGCATTAAAACAAAAACTGTATATTCATGTTTTGTAAAGGAGGCTTTCATTCCACCCATTGGACAAAAAAAGGGAAGCTTATTTCTTTGATATTTATATTGATTGGAAGTCATGCTGGTTACATAAAGTTTGTAAAATAAAAGATAAAAAATTAGCGCAGTTTAACTATAAATCAAGACGTACCTCATTATATAGTTCTTTTAAATACAATACACTGCTTAGAATTAAATGCGACATGTATAATAATGAACAAAAGGCTAAAGAAAAATGGAAAGAGCTACAAAAAATATGGAAGGCGTTTAAAGTAAGAACTGTAACACTTAAAATGTATACGTAATAACTTTTTGGGGGTTGTTGCATATGAGTGTGTATGTAGATATATTAGTGTTTGTGTGTTTTTATGTATATTTTTGTGTATATATGTATGTATCTATGTATTTGTACGTATATGTATATGTTTTTGGAACTGTGTATGTGTGTGTATGGTTGCATCGGTCTGTCTGTGTTTGTTTATATGTATGGATATATATATATATATATATATATAGGCCTATATATATATATATATATGTGTGTATATGTATATATATATATGTATATATTTGTGTGTGTGTTTTCGTGTTGGTATGTTTAGGTTTGTATGTATATGTTTGTGTTTATGTATGTATATGTGTATATATGTGTGTATGTGTATATATATTAAATAATTATGTATAAAGAAAGATAAGATATAGTAATATGTGAGTAAAGAAAGAAGGTAATAAGACCTAATGCTGTTTGTTAAATGTATTG